AATAAATTTTAAGTATAATAATATAAACTAGGACATACGATTTCCAAGGCATACCTGACTTAAATATATTGCATATTTTCTTGAAAAATTTACTTCTAATGTATTCGTGTAACATTTCAATAATGTATGTTAATTTGGATATTAATTAATTTCTTCTGATTTTAGGATTATTCTCATGAAAAAAGATTACACAATTTTGTGAAAAACGTCGTGTTTTTATATAATATTTAAAAAGTTGTATTATTATTATTATACATAATTGCCTCACATTAGGTTAACGAAACGTGGAAAAACGCACCAATTTATTCTTTTCTCTAGTTCCCCCTCAAAATCTATTTTGATTTGTTTTGTCCTTTTGAAATTTTTTAGTTAAAGTTAAAATACTGTAAAAAAAAATTGAACAGAACATCGCATAATACATTATGTATCAAGTTTGATAAACGCCATTTTATTCACGTATTCAATTTAGGCACGAGCGAGCTTGCTAGCGACTTGTATGACAAATATTTATTATTATCTTAAAATGATTTAAATTAAATATTTGTATAGAGCGACATCTATACAAAAATAGAGTTACCGTAAGAATGGGTATTACAGGTGGCAAATGTCAAATTTTTCTGTGTAAATCAAAATTTATCCCTTGAAAATGGACTAACAACAGTTTAAGTCCGATATGGAAGCAGTTTTTTTTACAGTGAAAGTATAGAGAATGTTTTATGGGCACTCCACGGTGTAGTCTCCACAAATTTGTAATGCTTTATTTAGTTTACTTAAACGATTGTATGACATTTAACAAATGTCAACTGTCAACTAACTTAAAGCCAACTTTAACCCGTGACTAAAAACCTGTTGGTAACTTCAGCCCGTGACTAAAGCGCCATAAAGCCATAGCTTGTCAATGTGTATTTAAAAGATCATTTAGTGTCAGTGAAACATGTATGATATCGTGTTACACATTGACAACTTATGGCTTTACGGCGTTTTAGTCACGGGCTGAAGTTAGTAACAGGTTTTTAGTCACGGGCTGAAGTTAGTTTTAAGTTAGTTGACAGTTGTCAAATGTCATACAATCGTTAAAATAAAGTGCCTTTCTTGTAAAATAATACTAAATGTGAAAATTATTTTATTATCTCAATACAAAAATACAAAAGTATTAAATAGTTTCTCAACGCCAATATTTGAAAGTTTATATGAACATTATACTGACCTTTTAATTTCGCCGGCAGTAAACTATAACTTAAATTTGGGCACGGACTCCACTGTAAAGTGCTCATTAAACATTTTCTTTAATTTTACTGTAAAAAACTGTCCATTTTCAAGAAATACATTTCGATTTATAACCTTTATAATCTGTGTTTATAAAATATGAAAATTTGACATTTGACGGTGTCACACAGATTCCCCTATTGTTTCATAGATGGCGCTCTATAAAAATATTTAATGTAAATCATTTTAAAATAATAATAAGTATTTGTAGTAGAAAAGTATAGTATGTAGGTACCTCGTTTATAAACTTTTCTATACACTCGTTTTTATTAAACACTCGCTTCGCTCGTGCCTAATAAAACTCGTAGGTAACTAAAATGGCATTTATAAAACTTGATACATAATATACTATTATAGACTCTGATATAATATAATTTTATTAAATAAAGTAGGTAAATGTTTACTGTCTATGACCAAAATTCAAATAGGACCACTTTCCATAGAAAGTAACGAACATGGTGGCAGTTTCTGTGTGAATCCAGCCTAATCGTCGTTTATTGCATAAATAGTGGCTTATTCCAAAAGAGGGCTTAAGTCGTTAAAAGCTACTTTAATTGCACCATCAGGTATGTGCGCGGTACTAATGAGTTCATAGGGGAATTGCCCAATGATATGCTTGTTACTCGTGTTAAAAGTTAATCTGCGAAATGCATTTTCCAACACTTTGAAGCTTTTTACGACTTACAAGCCGGCACGATTCAACAATATTTCTACTTTTTGATTTCAAAAATAGTTAATAAGGCAATATTTTGTATTCTTAATTATTTACTTCTGCTTAAACATTCAGTTAGCGCATTGTTTTCCGGCCGACTCGTAGGTAATTAAGTAAAGCTCGGCATCCGGTACAATTTAACCGGATAATCAAAAAACCTGAATATTCTTGAAATAACATCGGTTTAACTGCAAAAACATGATAACTTTTTATTTTATCTACTTTCGCAGAAGAATAATATTGTTTAATATGCGGTTCATTGTACTTTGAATGTATTAAAAAATAAAACGTGGTTATTTTTAGGTGTATACGAATCCTCACGTGTTAATTTTAAAAAAATCGATTTAAATTTTTTTATAAAAACAATTTTATTATTTATTTTAAATTTAATGCTAATATAATACGTATACATTATACATAAATGTATACATTTTTGCGATAAACAGAAGATAAGAAGTTTTTAGATACGAATAACATTGGAAAGCTCCTTAAGGATAATAAATTTATTTAAATTCGTACACTTTAAAATATAAACAAAAATAAATAACATAATCATTAATCAATGATAACATTAATTATACTTATTGTAAAAGTAAATTCTTCTTGAAATTTCAAGACAAATTTTCCTTTACCACTTTTTCGAATTCGCAAAGTTGCTGGAGTTAATTAATTTTTTAAAGCCACTAATGAGAGCGCAGTGTACGAGTACTGCGCTATACGAGGTGTGTTCAGAATATAAAAATAACGGGAATTGTTAAATTTCGCGGGTTCGGAGGGTCCGGTTGTCATAAAATTGTCTTTATTATGTTGGTATACATGCCCCCGAAGTATGATAAAAACTTAAGCTGTTTTCATTGTTTACTTTGTCTGTGGCAGCCGCTAAGGTTAGACGTGTTTTATGAGCTCGGCGATTTTCGTTCGTTCGAAAGAAATGGATCAAAGAATTTGTATCCAATTTTGCTTAAAAAATGAAATAAATTCTGTGAAATGTTAACAAAGGCCTATAGTGAGTCTACTATAAATTAAACAAGAGTTTACAAGTGGTATAAGAGTTTCCAAGATGGCCGTGAAGACGTTGAAGATGACGAACGCCCCGAACGCACAAGCACATTAACAACCGATAAAAACATGGAAAAAGTGGAAGAAATGGTTATAAACCATCAGAGAAGTCGCTGAAGATGTTGGTATATCGATTGGCTCTAACCCATGAAATTTTTTCGAATGTTTTGGGTATGAAACGCGTAGCAGCAAAATTTGTTCCAAAGTTGTTAAATTTTGAACAAAATTGTTGGCCAAAAACAATACTGTAATGATGCCTCAGCCTCCATATTAGCCAGACATGCCTCTGTTTGAATTTTTCCTATTCCCAAAAATAAAGAAAACCTTAAAGGGACGTCGTTTTGCAAGCATATATGACATTAAAAGCGCATCGCTGAAAGAACTAAAGGCTATCCCAAAGATCGAGTTTTAGAAGTGTTTCGAGTATTGGAAGAAGAGCTGGCACATGTGCATAATATCCAATGGGGACTATTTTGAAGGCGACAACATTAATGTAGACGAATAAATAAATATGTTTCAAAAAACGAAAATTCCCGATATTTTCTGAACACACCTCGTATATTTATGCTTTATGGGACGATTTTTTGATTTTACAAAAGATGCTGATATTCCATCATTGAAAAAAAAAACAAAGATAGAGCAGAAGAAAGAAAGAAGAAATGTAATTTTAAGAGAACTTCACCTATACCCTTTGGGCCGCCAATTTTGGGACACCCTGTATATTTTCAGCAATATTATTTTAAAAAAATCAGAAGTTGTAATCCGATACCTTGCGATCCAAAACCTCTTTTATTAACGATATATGTATATAGAATCTAGGCTTAGTGTCTACTTCCTTTCTGCTTCGAACTAGACAACCGTTAGATACAATTTTCCCCGGATTCTTAATAAGATTTTAACTGTTCATAACCACGGCACGTGTGCCAATCAAATAGCGGACGAGCACTTGTGACTTTCCACATGATTTAAATTTAATGGGGTACACCTATCAAACAACATGTTTAAAAAAGCGATAATGAAATCGTTTATTATTAATATTCACCTTAGAACAAAAAACAACAGGAAGGAGTCTTGCCATTCTTTAGCCGTACTAAAATTACGACGGAAGTCGGCCATTTGCAAGCTCCAAATTATGACACATTTGTGATGCTATATTTGTCAAAATTGAATGTTTTATGTGTTTGTCGGTGTTTTATGTTGTTTTTCTGGTTAAATTAACTTTAAATAAGCGTTTCATTGTTTCTAGACAATATTGTATTTGATATATTCTCGTTTAAGTGTAAATATTTAAAGTTTAAGATATAAATATTAGTGTTTAAGGGGTAAAAACAAATTATGGTTAGTTGTGCAGCTTGTGGTTGCTCCTTGAGCACAAAAATTAAAAATATTCATTTACATTTCATAGGTGAGTATTTTGGTTAACGTTTAATTTATTTACTTATTGTATATTTTAAAATAATTAGTTGTAAATATTAAACATTAATCAATGTCAAATAACGTAACCTTAGAACATAACCATAACCTAAGAACGTCACCATCATAGAAAAAACCATAGGCGTATCATATTTTCTGATACTAACCTAATTATTATAAAAATTAAACTTCAATTGTATTTACTACGCCACTGTCAAACGGAAACAACTATCCGCCATATTGAAGCTCCACTTTGGACCCAAGGTCATTTATTAAATGCTCCTTCCTGTTGTTTTTTGTTCTAAGATATTCACCAATTTTAAAATCTAATATTTACCGGGAACAACAAGTTAATAACCTTTCGTTAAATCAGACTAAATTATGGAAAAAACAAGGTCGATCCAAGGTCTAAAAGGTAGCAAACTTTATTATATTCGTAACAAAACATTGTCTAGAAACGAGTGTTATTTTTTTTTAAAAGCCCTCTATCAATAGAATTTGCCAAACTTTTTATATTCTTTGGTCTAATTTTTTTTTTCTTTTTACTTACCGAGTATGAGGTGTAGTTTGGCATCTGTTTGGAAGGCATAGTGCAGGGTAACTAGAAATGGATTATCTCGGACTGCCTCCAAGACTTGTCGTTCGGTTTTCGTGTGCTCGGTGGTCTTTCTCTTTTGCACGATGGTGGCCTTTTTCAGCACCTTCATGGCGTATAGGCGACCATCGTCGCTGCCGCCTCTTTTTCGCACTAGAAACACTTTACCGTACGCTGAAACAAGAATTTCGATATTAGATAATGGCCCAATTTTAGAACCTTGAGGCACGCTATTTATATTTTTTTCAAATGCTAACAACAATAGCTACCATTAATCTTCCAAACACATATTTGAGAAACTTTTAACGAGCATCCATTGTAGAAAAAACCTTTTGCAATGTTGTTGCGTTATTAATATCAAAACTTTCTAAGAACCGAAGAATTTTTGCTAATAATATTGGTTACATATTACAATGTTTTAATTTAAATTAAATTGATTACATTTATTACAAAAAAAATTGCAGCTTTCACCTGACTTCCTTAAATTCTACTGCAGCAGCGAGTAACTTTTGAATTTGATTTAGCGTAAGTGTGTGTATTGATCAAACAGTTCAAAAGTCGACTTTTGGGAGTTTATGTAAGAGTTTACAAGTAAAATTGATTATTTATTTTATTAAATATGAAACCTAACATGGTTATCGTAAACCTTGACGGAATTAAGCTTCTCTTAGTCAAGGTTTACTGATAGTGAACACAAAACATTAATGATAACATTGAGAAGCTCTGCTATATTAATATTTACATGTGTTATTTCTTAAAATTTACAATTCTAATATTATAAAATATGTTAAAATATGAATATGAAAACCAGGGTTTTCTTTATTTAAATTGGATTTTTTTTAAACAAGAAAGCCCGTTATTGTATCAAGTTTAATACATTTTAAGTAGACTTTTTTGTAAACAGGTTAAGTGACACAATTTTAAAAAATCCGGCCTCACTGAACACCTAACTTACTCGCCTTAAGTACATATACAGGGTGTCCGTTTTTCTAGGCTAAGCATGGTAACTCTCTCATCTTTAAAGATAAATAATATGCTCTCTAAAAATGAATTAGTCAAAAATTACTAGTTTTCTAAGTGAAAATGCAGCCACTACTTATTGTAGTCCACAGCAATTTGTATCTCGGAGATCCAAAAATTAGAAATGTTTTTGGGATATACCTAGTCAATTTCATATTATATAGAAAATTGACTATATATCAAAAACTGTTCTACTTTTATAAGTTTTGACAACATTTTCGGATTCATAGGAACGACTGCCTAATGTCCGGATCATAAATAATTATTGCTGTTGACGAGAATTATTGTGGCTCCTTTTTAGTCATTTTTGACTAATTAATTTTTAGAGAGTTTATAGTAAATAATATTTACTAAATAGTATATTATACTACAGTTGGTTAAATTAGGATCAATGATCTAAAAAAATTATCTTTATTTATCATTTTTAGTTTTTAAGATAAAAAGCGAGAAATTGTAATTTTTATTAAATTTTTTTATTTCAAAAACGGTTAAAGCTGGACTTTTCAGATTCAGACATTATTAAGGCACTTTTCAAGGGGATTCTAATTTGCCTAAATCTTTTTGCTAGTTTTTAAAACTAGCGAGTTAAGATAAAAAAACACCCTTCTTAAAAAATAAGTATGGTATATGTTATAGTTTTTTTTTAATTTAAATTCAACAGAAATAAATTATTTAAGTAATAATATATAAACGTATAAAAGTATAAACGAAAGGAACTTTAAAAAATAAACTAACAAAAAAATATAGTATAAACTAAACAATAAATTATTATTTTTTATAAAACTATAACACAATAAACAAAATTTATATGTGTATATGATAAAAAATTTTTTACAATTTTTATTAGAATATTTATATTTTATTTGAATATTTATATTATTATAGTATTTTATCTGTTCTCTACCAAATTAATTAATTTATATAATTTTAATTTAAATCCTGATTTAAATTTGAAAAATTAATTGATTTAACAACTCTGATTAAAACACAAATTATTTTAAAGAACCTACTTAAAATTAATTAACATGCTTAAAATCTTAAATTTAGGTATATAAAAATGCATTTTTATATAAATTTAAGATTTTAAAGAATAGGTTCAGTCCCATTTTTTTACCCCCAGTGATTTAATCAGAATATAAACCAAACCTTAATGGGAAAAAGCAGACTTGTAAACATATTAAGTTACTGAATAAGAAAGAAGGGTAGAATATCCAAGAATTGACCAACAATGACGATAATAAAATTAAGTTTCAAATACTTTTAAGGATTAAATGCTTATGTGATTCGTGATCTTTATTTGCGGAAGCAGGTAATACGATAGTAATCCGAATTCAAAATTCCTGACTAGATTTAATTGGGCAATAAACCAAACAGGTACCACATTTAAAAACTCAATATTATACGAAAATGGTAAACCGGTGGCAGTCAAATAATGTTAATTATCGAGTTAAAACAGTTCTTAATTGCTTGGATACACAATAACTAATAAGTTAATTTAGTTTGTGCTCATTTATGGGTTAACGAACCACGAAAAACGTAACGAAACACAAAACTTGTTAAAGATAAGTCGGGATAAGTCAAAAGAGAATATTTAACAAACGAAAATCTGTCTCTGTTTTGTTGTTCAGTCGTGTCATCGAACCTTAAGGTACCCGCAACGAGTACGATCCAGTGCTTAGTTGCCAAGGCTTATTGTACGCATTATATTTATATCAGGAAATATAATAATTTCATAAAGCTATGAACAATTATTGGCATCTGCCTTAAGAAGTTTATAAATCAAACTGCATTTAAAGACGTCCGTAACGTCATTTTTAAGAAATAATGCCAAGGATGTGCACATTTGGCAACAGTGCCGTTATAAACATAGGCACTGGAACTTTATTACTTTAAAGGAGTTAGCGCCACTTGGTTTTTATTTAGCTGCAATTTTTACGCACGTTGAATCAAATGTTGTTTTTGTCAGGTTAAAGGGTAATTTTACCGGAAACGCGCAGCAAACAAAAACTTTTCCTTTCGCCACTTGGAATTAGCAACTTGTTGCTCGCCAGCAACTTATTATTACACGATAATTTACGACTGTAACTAATGAATTTCCCACAGAGCTTAAAATATGGCATGTGGAAATCGGCATTTGTGATCATTTCTGTAAGGCAAGGAAAACAAATCATTTACAATATTTTTTTGTCAACTAACAAAGACACCCAGATAAGTTTTTTGCTTTTGAATATAGTTTACAAGCTTATTTTTACCTTTCATCTTTTGCTCGAATTTATATATTTTCATAAAGTTTGATTTTTTTGTACAAAGCAAATCCTGCTTTGTCCGACTAGTGGCCTAGATTTTATTTCATCGTAGAAGTTTTTAAATATTAAAGCAAACAATATTTTTGCATTAAACAAACATCACTATTTCAAAATGTTATAGGTCAAGGAAAAAATACAAACAAATCAAGTCGATAAAAAGTATGTTTTATAGATATCATTTGCCAATTACTTTAAACATTGCCTATATAAAACTGTAAAACGGCTCATTATCTGTTAATACTTGGTTTTGTATTTATAAAAAGTTCACTTTTAGACGTTGCCAGTTTTAAAATTACTTCGATTTTTTGCTTTTGCAACAAAAACTGATGATTTTTGCACAATTCTCTATGGCAACAGGCAAAACAATTGAAATAGCTCGGATGCCACAATTTTGCTTAATCATCTACGGGAGTCGATGTACGTATTAAAAATTTGTCTATCACTAATATTTGTTTTTACAATGTGTAGTAGCATAAAACCTATACGTATAATATACAGTTTTGATTGGTTTAATCTCTAGGGTTTTATAACAATGCAACTTCATAATAGCATAAGCAAGTAAAATACCTGCACAATTTTTTAACTCCATTATTGTAAACTCATGTCAAAATGTAACAAAGTTCATTGCTCTTGCGTATGCCATGATTTGTCTTTTTTGAGCATTGACATATGTGAATTCCTTGCATTTCTCAGTGCGCAAAAATTCAACTTAATTACTTTATGCAATAAGACAATTGTCATCAATTGCATTGATGAACAATTATGGCAAAGATTAATATCTCAGTTAGGTGCATGCGGCGTCCATAACCTAAACGAACAATAAAACGGTTTATTTTACATTTTCATTGCCATCTTTAATAGGCAACCTAATTAATTATTTAATGTATTTATCGGTTCGCCAAATACTTTGTCTCGATTCTCATGATGGGAAAAACTACTGTTGTAAGTAAAGTCTAGTCGGCAGACTGGCGAGGTCGTTATTTTCTTCATTTGTAAAATAAATTTGTCGTCGCGAGATTTAAAAGACGTAAGCAGTCGCCAGGCATTAATCCTGCATGCACTTATCTCATCAATTTACAGTAACCAATCGGAGCCGGTCTAGTCTTTCTTCTCCTCTATCCGCCAATTAGAAAAAATACCTCCAGACAGGTGGCCGCAGCGGCCTCTACGATAAAGAACCAGTGGCAGTGATGTCAGTACTAGGAAATATTCCCCGGATCTAAATAATTTTATTTTTACATTTTTTATATAGTAATATCTTGCTTGAATCAAGATTCTTATGACAGTTATAACTAGCTTATATTGACATTTTTAAGAATGTCATATCCACAACCCAAACAACAAGGTCTGTTCTATCTCATGCTAAAAATCACTGCAACACTGCACGGCCATTTTTGTTGTTTACAATTCTTGTGCTTTGGGTTTGTACTGTTTAATAATTGTTTTAAACGTTGGGTTTCTTACAGAGGCCCTTTTTAGCCTCAAATAAGGCCTTTAAGTGCTAAGGACAACCATTTTACTCCTCTTTTATAATAAATATACCTTATTCTATCAGGGCTGTCAAATGACAATTTGAAGGTAAATTTGTGGGTTATAATTTAACCTTAAAATTGACATTTGACAGTTTTATGACAGCCCTGATAGAATAAAGTTTATTTTTTTACAATAGAGGAGTAAAATGGTTGTTCTTAGCACTTTAAGGCCTCTTTTAAGGCTTACTATGGGAAACACAACGTTTAAAACGATTATTAATCTGTATAAACAGAGCACAAACCCAAAGCACAAAAATTATAAACAACAAAAATGGCCGCCGTTAAACTGTGCAGTGTTGCAGTGTTTTTTTTGTATTTTAGTACGAGATAGAACAGACCTTGTTGTGTGGATTGTGGTCATATCTAGCTTAGGGGTCGTTCATAAATTACGTTTAGGGTCAAGACAATGAGTAGCATACCTAATAATGTTATTATGCCTAATATATTTCAACAAATAATTTCTTTTGGAGTGTGACCCTCGCAGATTTTTTAAAAATTTTGTGGTGTTATTCTCTACTTCAAAATAATGACTCACTGAAGATTTGAGCTTTAATTTTGAAAGACTTTCCTAGTAATAAATTATGACAATATTTTTTTAATAACTTTTTCGTTAATTTTATTTGGATGCAAATTATGTTTTATAAAAATACAAACAGTATTGTTTTTTTGTAAAAAATTCTTTGAATGAAAATATTTATTCTTCATAATAAGTAATAGAAGATCCTCAAAAATTCAATTAAAGTAAAAAATGCGATTTTTCTGAGCTTGCGGCAATTTTTGTTTAAAATTTATTGTTTTTTTCGTGGGTTTATTTTTTGTTTAAATACAATTAAGTAATAAATTAATTATTAGAATAATTGAGGTAGGTAATGCACAAAAACTAAGTTTGTACAAAAATTCGTATATTACATTATTTTTAGAAAATAAGACAAAATTGGCGTTAATTTGACAGATGCATAACCTCAATTATTTGAAAAAAAATACTTACAATTATTTTATTATTGAAATAACCTTATATAAAACTTCACTATAGTGAAAAATCGCATTTTTCGCTTTAATTGGAGTTTTGACGGTCTTCCATTACTATAATATATATTTTCATTGAATATTTATAAAACATTATTAACATACAAAAAGTTTTAAAAAATACTTATTGTCAAAATTCGAAAAATCTTTACTACGAAGTACCTAATATTAAGGGCTCAAATCTTTAGTGAGTCATAATTTTGATGTAAAGAATAACTGCACAAAATTTTAAAAAATCCTCCCCAATTTTTTGACCCATTACACATAATTACATTATTATAACATTGTCACAAAGTCTTGACCCCCTATAGGGAGTCTGAAATCATTGCAAAAATTGCAACGCACTCTGAGGGATTTTCATATCCACCTACCCGTCGTCCGTGGTCAGTGCCGTGCGTGACCCCGCGCATCGTAGGCCGTTACACCCGCAAGAGCAAAAGCCTCCGGATCTTGCTTGTTATTGTTCCTTCTCTACTCGCTGCTGCTGTTGATGCTCTCAGTTTGGGAGGACCTTGGGCAACGGTTCAAAGAAGACATCACAGAGGAGGCGGGTTCACTGGCCAAATGTGGTAAACATTTACGCGGTGGGCAACATATCTACATTTTCATATTTGCTTTGTTCCCTATCTGCAGATAACGAAATCAGACACTTTAAATCTTCAAAATGATATCCAATTTGTTCTGGGAGGACAGAAAGTTCATATTAGTGCCGCAAATGCCGTAAATCACAATTTAATGTTTCAGGCAGAATAGAAAGAGTGTTTCGTTGTTTGCAGTGGGGGCCCCATTCCTGGATACGGTCCAACTTGTGTCGATGTTTCTCTCGAAACGAGATATCTCGCAATATTTATCGTTCTTTGTCTTGTTTTATATCCGATCCTGTCGCTAGTTATTTACAAGGCGCTAAATGTCGGCTCACGAGTCTAAAATTTTCCCGAAATATATGTCAAGAATGTTTTGTTGAACCCAAATACATTGTATTCACCTGAATTTTTCAGATTCCTTTTATTAAAGCATATCTTTATTAAAAACTAAATAACAGTTGTTTCAAAACATTTGCCAAATAACTTACAACATCTGTAATACATTGCTTTGAAGCGTTGTTATATCCATCTACAACAATAGACAGTTTCTTTCGCCTAGCTAATGAATGTATTTATATGCTTAACAGTACCAATTGAAATTCTATTCAGTCAATAGATATGTTGGGTACTGAATGGTCTTTAAAAACAGTTAGGCGCGTTATCATTGACGGATTCCTTTAAAATTATGTCGATGACAATACACGTGTCCTCAATGATTTTAAATTAGATTCAGTTTTTTACAGTGCTTGAGAATATTTGTAGAAATGTCATTGGACACAAAACATTGAACCTACGTTTACTGCAGCATGCTAATAAAATATTATTATCCTTCTAACCTGTGGAAGCGCTATTGATTTTGCTTACAAATAAATTAGAATATAAGAATGCCTTTGATTAATTGAAACAAGTGTCATTAGACGCCACTTTAAATAACACTTTTAAGGCATTTAAGATGAACAAAAAAGCATTTAGTCTAGACGAAGAAATGTGCGAAAGAGAATTGAGAATAGATTGATGGATAATCCAGGGAGTCGCTAAATGAAAACCGTCTACTGGGTTTTCAAACTGTTAAAATATATTCATTATCTTTCTTCAGGTTACGAACACAGGGGGTCGATAGTCGACAAGGGGTTTGGCCGACTTTGACAGGGTTCCCAGATGTGCTTACACACGATACATATTTAAAACACGACAACTGCCTGTATCATCGCAACATTTACGCTGTCGAGACTGCCAGGCTGAGGCTGTCTGCATATTAAGAATTTAGGTACTTTATTAATATATGGATCAGAAATCGATAATGCTTACCTCCAGTTCCTAATACTTTGAGCAGATCGAAATGGGACATGTCCACTCTCTCCACACCAGACAAATTTACTGAAAAAAAAAGAAAATCGTTAATTTTAATGGTACCTCATGTACAATGTAAACATTTTGTTTTAGTATTTATTGGCTTTAATAATCGATTACCGAAGGAATTTTCTCGACATCCTAAATAACAATCACCAGTGTACAACTTCTACCTAATTAATATTAGGTATTATATTTTTAGATCAAAATCTCCACAGTAATTAACAGCGTAAGTAATAATTAATAGGCGAAGAGCGGAGGTTATTTGCCAAGGTATAACAAACCGGAATTTGATTGACATCATATTCAACACATATTAATAAAAACATATTTAAATAACAATCCTACACAGCGGAATTTGATATACAGGGTGATTGATTAATAGTGGGGAAAATAAAAATAAGAAGAACTTTCCGAAATTCCTTTGTTTCTGAGATACACAGTGTTGCAACAAAAACAATAACAATATAACAAACTTTATGATAAAAATGTTTCATTTTTATTTTTAAATATTCCAACATTTTAAGTTGCTCCAGAAAATCACGGTTGCCGTAAAACCTAAATTAGGGCTTTTTAGATAAGAAAAAATCAGATAATTTAAAAAAAAGCAACACTACAGTATCAATTTTTTGAAAACGAAAGGTAGCGTTTCCGGAAATTAGTTAATAGAACGTTTTTTCTTATTTTTGTACAATAAATCTCATCCTGATTTGTTTCGTAATATTAATTAATTACCCTGTATTTGCAGTTAAATGTAAATAAATCCATTTTAGGTATTTATTAAACACCAATGTTTAATTCCAATGATTAAGGACCCTTAAATACACAGCTGTCTTCAACTTTACTCATTAATATCCAAGTTTTGTATTAGCATTTCATTCTTGGAAAAAAGTTTGTAATCAATACGACCCAATAACCAAGAAGGTCATAAATTTATATCCAAAAATATCAACGTTTTCATTTTTCAAGTAAAACTTCCTAATATGTCAGTGACATTAAAAGCGTTTTATATTTTTCGTGATATAATGTCACGGAAAATTTGAACCGCCCGTAAGTATGAGCATAAGGTCGCAGGGGTAAGTCACGTCGATTTGTGCGTGTTTTCCAACAAAAAAAATAGGTTTTAAAAGGTTACCGCTATCGAAGATAGTTAGACTAAACGGTTTTAAGGATCAGGAGAGCATGAAGTCGCAGAGGTTATGTCATTTATTGAAGTAAGACTATAATCTCCTTCAGAAGTTTTACTTCAATAGCTTTGTATCAATACTATTATCATCATTATATTTGTTTTGTTTGTAAAAATCTCAGGTATAAATTCGATGCGACCAGAGATAAACAATCTTTTTTCATTGCTTTTGAAGTAATTACGTTTTATAACTAAAAATTGATTGCTCCAACTTTCCAGAAAGTAACCTTTTATACTCATAAAAAATGACCTGTCCGTCGCAAAGATTACGGCGTGTTTTCAGTCTGACCGTATTTTTTTTTCGGTACCGTTCAAGTTTGAATCGATTCGGCTCTTGTTTTTCCCGCCGTCTAGCCGTCAGGTTTTCTTCGCAAGGTCGTTCAGACTGGGACAATTTTCCACCTACCTCCCACCACCACCATAATCCCATACGGAGCCTGGACTCCAGACAGAATAAAATGATAATTGTTATTTACACGACTTTTTTGTTGAAATTGAAATTAATATATTCCGTTTTAGTTAATAGACATAAAGCAAACAAAAGGTTTATTTTAATAACTTCAAAACATTTACTGGATCGGCCAATTAGTAACGCGAAGCTTCAAATTGAAAACAAGTGCATCTATAAATAAACAAAAAATTAGAATTCATTTCCAAAATACCTGCCATTTATTTATAATTTGTCACTTTCGTTTTGCAAACATTTTTTAGCAAAAATAACCGAATCTATTTAAGCGTGGCCTTGTTATCAAGCGAATCTTTAAATAAAATAAAAGTTCTAAATTTAGCTTCAATAAAACTTTAAATATTTAGTACGCAATAAAAACGTACTTGATAAAATGCATTAATATGTAATCTGTTGTAGGTATTTTAAATTTTACATGAACAATGCTTTGTTTCAATTTTTTTTTCATGGAAGAAAAACTTTATTTTAAAATTACCCTAATAGGTATCAACTGTCACAGCAGAAAACCAAGCTGCTTGGTGTTGAGTAACGCTCAGCAATTTCCGGCAGTGCGTTCACCCCGATACCCCACATGCTCACAGTGTTGCTAAATGGTACAAACCTAATGAACGAAAATCCATATCTATGATACAAAGTACACAATCAAAAACAATTATTTTTAATATAGAAGACAAAATTGAAAGATCTTTATGATGTTTGAATAAAAGTGAATAGATTTAGCAGGTAGATTTAAAAGTTATATTTAATTTGGCAACGCTGCAACCATGCACCCCATGCAGCAAGCTGGGCTCTCTGGTTCATTGCCATCATCGCTCACCAGTTGCATTTACACTGAAGGGATTCGTGGGTAAAAATAAACATGGATGCAAGTATATTTAGTCCGTTCAACCACTGTTTTGCCCAGCATTATTAAACCATAATCTGTTAGGGTTACATACATGCAAAACACATATATTCTCATGGAGCCTAAGACACAGCCCATCCAAGCATTGCGAATGGGCGCTTCAAGTTCCGATGCTAATTGATAATACAGGCACAAAGTTATTTAGCAGCAACGGCGCGCGGCAGGAAGATGTAGTTAAGTTGAAAAAGGTATCGTTCACCCCTAGACGCAAAACCGGTAGCATGAGCTTATAGCGTTGCATTGTTTTTTTCGAAGAAACATTCCCATGATATAGAAGCTTCAATTGGATCTCGTGGAACATGCAGGTTCTGCTCTATGAACGACAGCTAAGGTTGACCACAAAGGAAAAAGATATTATAATTCGCATGATAAATGAGTTGAAATTTTTAATTATACAGCTAGATATTAATGGAGATACAACAGATATTTTTATAAATTCTATAAATGCAGGACTACTTACAATTTTTAATTCCTCTATTTATATCCATTATTTATTATTAATTTATTGCTCTATGAACGACAGCTAAGGTTGACCACAAAGGAAAAAGATATTATAATTCGCATGATAAATGAGTTGAAATTTTTAATTATACAGCTAGATATTAATGGAGATACAACAGATATTTTTATAAATTCTATAAATGCAGGACTACTTACAATTTTTAATTCCTCTATTTATATCCATTATTTAAATAATTTATTAACATTTTAAAAACCTTAATGATAATGTATTAAAATAAAAAAACACTAAGGGTTCTCGCCCTGTTTATGTCAAAAACGTCACATATTTAAAACAGTGAATTTGCTTTTAAAAGTCATTTTATTAATACCAACTTTTGTAAGGTTTTTAAAATTATACCATAAATACCATAAAACATATTTTTTAAATCAATGTTTCAATGGGAAAAATAATTTTTATGTCTAAATACTTCGCGATACATATTCAGACAATTTAAATAGGGTAGACGTTGTCCATGTGCACGTGCTAAAACACACCTGGCTTTTCAAAACAATCAGTTTTTTAAATCTCTAATCCAAAGCTGCATTTAAAGTTAAAATAACTACATGTTTACTTAAAAGTTCGGGTTCCCACTCAAACACACACAATTTTTTTATTACGGTCTAGCCGTTTAGTAGTAGTTTAGTGACATGCGCACGTACAGAAAAATTATATATTTAAAGATGGGGAATGGTTTAATACCATATTTTTACTACATAATAACTATCCAAGCGACCAAAAGAATAACGTAATAAAAACAAATTAAACATTCTCTCTCTTTCTAAACCTTTAACATTTATGTTTTATTTGTCTCATTTTATTAATATTTTAAAATGGTAAGTATAGGTACCTAAAGTAGGTAATAAAGTTTACCATAAAGTAAAATTAATAAATACAAGACATAAATAAAATAAAGAAATCTAAAAAACATAATAATATCAAGGCTTAAAAAATCATTTAATTTTAATACCTTCGGTTTTTTTTTATGTTTGTAAAAAATGATCGTATAACTTTTTATTAAATTGGATGATCTTTATTAATTTTTTCTACTCCCACCTTTAAAACGCCCATTATCGTACATGTTTCCATGACACTAAGTGACCTCTTAAATACACATTGACAAGTGGTAGCCTTATGGCGTTTTGGTCACGGGCTGAAGTTAGCAACAGGTTTTTAGTCACGGGCTGAAGTTAGTTTTAAGTAAATGACAGTTCTCAAATGTCATACAATCGTTAAAATAAAGGGCCCTTCTTGTAAAATAATATTAAATGTTAACATTATTTTATTTTCTCAACACAAAAATACAAAAGTATTAAATAGTTTCTCAACGCCAATATTTGAAAAGTTTATATGAACATTGTACTGACCTTTTAATTTTGCCGGGAAACTACATTAACTTAATTTCGGGTGAAGACTCCACTGTGGAGTGCCAATAAAACATTTTCTTTACTTTCACTGTAAAAAACTCTTTCTATATCCGATTAAACAATCCATTTTCAAGGAATACAGTTCGATTTGTAAATCGAACTGTATTCCTTGAAAATGGATTGTTTAAACACAAAAATTTGACATTTGACATAATACACATTTTCAAGTTGGTAATTCTATTGTTTTATAGATGTCGCTCTATACAAATTTTCTATTTAAATCATTTTTAAATAATAAGTGTTTATCGAAGAAAAAGTATAGTATGAAACTCGTTTATAAACTTTTCTATAGGCCTATATGCACTCATTTAATTAAGCACTCGCTCGCAAGCTCGCTCGTGCCTAAATGAAATTCGTGTCTAAAGTGGCGTTTATCAAACTTGATACAGAATATACTAAAATATGGGCTCTTTAAAGAAAAACCTCGAGAAAAACCCTCGAAAAAACCCTTTTGGTTTTATTTTTAATAGTTCTTTATATATAAGGACTCCTTATTAAGGAGTATACTCTTTTAAGTTTTCAGTGGTTTTAATATAGTAAAAATG